TTTTTCAAGCTTTGGAATTTATAGTCAACTTGATCCAGCAATGGTGGTCAGAGCATGAAAGCAAATATTGTGGGTGCAGTAATCCAAGCTGGCTCTACAAATATGCCTGCAGAACAAAAAAATCAACATGAGCACCCATGATATTACCAGTAATACATTTTGGTGCTTTGAAGGCTGAATCCAAGGGACAGGCTCTGTCAAAGTCAACAATGCTAGCCATCTGTTCTAGAGTCTCTACATGCAACTTAGGATTGTGTATGCATATTCTCTGGCTCATAGCTAATGCAACATATCTCCAGGCCATTATAATGACTAATACAATTTCATGATCTTTCTAAACAATCTTTCTAATCTTCCTTTATTTCATTGACTAATGTGCTAGTCTACTGAAGTGAGATAAATAGTAATTTAAAAAGTATGCCAGAAGAAGTATGTCTTGCTGTAGGTAACTTACTTCTTTATGCATTCCCCAAACTTATTTTCAAAAACTATATGAAGCATTTTGGAAGTGTGTGTGTGTGTGTGTGCAACATTTGGAAGTGCAACACTGGGTATCCACTGTTTTTCTCTGAATAGGAAGGAGTTGCTAAACAAACTGAAATGGAATAGGGACTTGGAACACTGTGCATAGATCATTCAATAAAAGTCATCCTAACTTCCTTATGTACTATTTATACAGAGGTGAAATTCAGACTGATTCAGCACATCGATGTTTTGCATATATTACACACAACAGAAACTTGTTAAGAAGAAGCTGATGCTGACAATGTATCAAAGACAGTGCCTCATGGAGACATCTGATGTGGGCCTGTCATGTACTGGCTTCTTTTTGACTATAAGTCATTGCTTGTATTGATTCTTTTCTTGAAAAATCTGTGATAATAGCAGATGTTGATGTGCTCATAAATTACATTTCTCCGGATTAAAAGATGGACAACAAAAGTGGATATTGAGAGGTCTTACAATTAGAAAGGCGATTAGAGTGCAAGCAAATGGGGATGCCGATAGCCCTCTGAACTCAGAGGCTTATGGGCATCCTATGCAGGGCAGGAGAAGCATGGAGAAGATCCCTTCCTCTCACACCCTGCAAAGGCTTCTAGATGGCTGATTTCAGCTGTCTAGTTGTTTGATGTGGAGGAAGGAGGCTGGATCACTGCCAGGTGTGTCATATCCTAGTGGCCCCAGTCTCCTCCGCCCTCCCTCTAGAATGCCCCTTTACTCCTTTTCTAGTGTCACCCTTGCAGCCTCAGAGAAGCAGCTGGTGTGGCTCTTTCCACACCAACAGCAAGTTGGAAGGTGAAGGAGGAGATCCAAGCATGGTTGAATGTTTATTTTGAATGCTTCTATTCATGTGTATATTTGAAGCAGGAGTGTTAAACTCCTTCCCCCGCTTTTCTTTCTACAAAAGGTGATAAAAATGATTATTGTATGTGGATATTTTTACCTTATGTTTTTCCTTCCTTCCTCTCTTTGTAGTTCCTTCTTTTTGTTTGTTATTGTCATATATGCACATTTTTAAAGTGCATGTATTGTGTATGCAGTTTAGTCAACAAATTATTTGGTATTAGGAAATAATGTTCTTTTCCATCAAATGGAGCTGAATACTAAGTTTAACCAAAATTTAACAACTCAGAAATAAAAGAATTGCTGCAAAAACTTGCTTGAAGCAAATTATATAGGCCTGATGGAAATATATATATAGATTGATGCATATATTGGTATTGCAAACAGATGAGATTACTGTGGACTGGACAGTCAAAACAACTGAGAAAATTATTATTCCATGCTTGAATTACTTTTTATGTCAGACATTACCTTGGAATGAAGGTGTTGTAGTGTACTTTACATAGTATCTTCCAGTTCTCTTTAAAAATATGCCACAGTTCTCTTCAAAATAGTGAGGGATGATTCAAACAACCTGATTTACTTGCCTAGGAGAGATCTCTTGAATCAAGGAAATCAAGTCTGAACTAGGTTAGTTGAATAACACCGTTAAACATCCATTGCTTTGTGTCCATTCAGAAATCTATTTTCACTTAATTACTCTTTGAAAAAGAAGGACTTGTGAAGGGGTCCTTCAGAAGAACCAGATGTTTCCCAAAATAATATAAGATACAAGTAATACATGTTTGCTTTGACTCACCCCAAAACTAGTAAAGCCCCAGTCATGTAGATGTTGTTTATGTTCAGGGTAATATATATACATATTGAATATGCTCTGGCTTGGACTGCAGAACTACTTGGATTGTCAGATATTTGGCAGGACATGCTATCTCACTGATGGATTTCTCTTGGCTTGAGACCATAAGTTGCACAAGCCTGACTTATACATTGTTGTTCGGTATAGGCAGGCTCACTCTACCAGTTGCTTTACGGGTTCTGTAGGCATAGGTAATGCTTCCTTTTCCGAGTATCAAAGAAATATCATTCCAAGTTTTCCGTAAATACCAGTCCATGTCAGGGGTCTATATCCTATAAACGTTACTTATATAAATGATTCATATCTGGTTAATGCATGTATCAGTCGTGGTATGTGAACATTTGTGACTCTGACAGGCCTTTTAAAGGTTTGTGTAATCATCACACTTGATTTCTGTCTTTCGTACAAGGGACTTAGGAACACATATATAGATCTTTTGCATTTTATATTCACAAAGATCATTTGGAATAGTTTAGGATAAAACGGTGATTTTTCCAAAGTTTCTCACTGACCTGCATGGCTGATCCACCTTCTATATTGTATATATCATCTGCTTCAGAGTGCCCACCTTAACTTTCCAGCCTAACAGCTTTCAGCTTTAGAAAGTGAGGTTATGAAAGAGTACAAATGCAGTATTGAAGGAAGGCCTAAACTAACCTAGTTCTGTCTTGCCATTTTTGACTGTGCACTGTTCTAGAGAATTAAGAAATAGGTTGCAGTGTTAATCCTTGATGTTTGTTGCAGTTTTTTCCCCTTTTTTTGGTGAATCTTTTTATTTGTTTTTAGGAAACATAATACAGGGATAAAGGAATATATAAATAAGAAAAAGAAAGACAGACAGACAGAAGCCTGGTGTCATTGTAAGGATTTAACAAGCAACTCCTAATTTAAGCACATTTATAATAAACAAAGGTCTCCATCAACTACTCTTCTGTCCCAACTGTTCAAGTCACAATCATATATTGATCTAGCCTATACAGTTAGTTATGGCTCTCAAGATTGCTTTGGTGCAAATGAAATAACAAACCTTTGTATAAATCATATTTTCTTTAATCATTATTTAAATTGTTCAAAGTAAATCTTCCATCTTTGAGTAAATTCTTCAGCTGGTCTTCTGTTGACATAACTAACTTTGCCATTGTTGCATAGTAGGCTAGCTTGTTTTTCCACTCTTCAACAGCTAAGCAACCTTCAGTTTTCCTCTTTGAGACAATTATCACTCTTGCTGCTGCTACCATATATTTGTAGAATTCTGACATAATCTCTGGGATAGTCTCCTGGACAATACTCGGTAACATGTTCTTGGAATCCGTCGGAAAGACATTTTTAAATATTTTCTGCATCTCAGCATGTATCTGCTTCCATTTTTTAAAATTCTGTCACATGTCCACCGCATGTGATAAAATGTTCCACCTATTTCTTTGCATTTCCAACATTTTCTAGTATAGTTCTTGTCCATTTTCTGTATATTTTTAATATACAGAATACTGTAATATATCACCAGAAATACATCTTATACCATTTTTCTCTTTGTGCTTGACATGTGGTAAATTTTATGGGTTTTTATTATAATTTAAGAGTCTGTCAAATTTGTTATTATGCCTTTTCCAGTGTAAATATACTTTTTAATCTAGAAACTTGCTGCTGATAAAAGGGCCATACTATGTCTTTTCCTTTATCTTTTATTTCTTGTCATGCTTTAATTCACCCTTGATGGTTGACCATGTCTCTGTATATTATAAGACCATTGTTTTCTCTAGAATGTTTTCCACAGTATGCTTCTGTTGGGGACTTTATAGGAAAGATCGGTGCACTAATTCTTCTCCTCATGGAGTATCAAATTTTTATTAAGCTGTCTCTAAATATGAGACTATTATTGGCATCAGTGCTTTTTTAATTGATTCATTAGCCCATAGTTGATTGTATAGTCCTTCCTCTAGGTCTGCAATTTCTAATTTCAGTTGTTCTTTGTAGTTTTGATTCATTTACTTATATCTATATTGCATTAGCTGAGCAGTGTATACCTGTTAATAAAATACAATATAAATAGCAGTAGAAAACCTCATAAACTACACTAAAATTTAATACTAAATTTGAAAAACTAAACTAGTAAGATAAGCTCATAATGCTAGATAAACAGCATCTAAAAACACCTGAAAATATCCCTTCACGCCATGTAATAATTAGAATTGGTAAATTCTTTGGCAACGAAGGCAGGTTGAACCTAGTGTCGAAAGGATAATAAAGTTGTTGCCAAGCAGGCATCACTGGGAAGATCATTACATAATTTGGAGGCTACCACAGAGAAGGCTCTCTTTATTGTGTGCGAGTGATTCCTTAGAGGTGGCTTTCCGAGGAAGGCCTTGCATGTTGAGCATAGTGTCTTGGTAGATTGCAATTTGACAGAGCTTTCCATGAAGTATTGTGGTCCCAGGCCATGTAGGATTTTCTAGGTTAAGACCAGCACCTTGAATCAGGCTTGGAAGCTTATAGGCAGCCAACACAAGCAGGCTAGAACTATTGTTATATGCTTGGATTGGTAGCTTGATCAGTAATGTGATTCATTAATTGACCGTTCTTTATAATTTTATGGCTATAATGTCAGCTAAATGGCTGTATTAGATTGTTATAATAATACCACCCCCTAGATTGACTTTTTTTCCCCGAAGTTGAGCTTTAGGTCTATACTTGAAAGTAAGTAGGCTAGCCACATCATAGACTCCACTAAGCTCACAGAAGCTTGTTTGATTTTGGAAGATGTTTTGTATAAATCTGAGTGTTTTTCTTTCTTTCTTTACAGTGATCCAGCTGCTAAAGCTCTGTGGGAGTCCTTAATGAATCTCAAACAAAAAGAAGCTGTGATGGAAGTTAGGAGACACCTAGTGGAAGCTGCAAGCAGAGAAAATTTGCCAATCAAAATGAGCATGGGTGAGTACATGTATCCAACCAACTAGCTGCGACATGGAATGAATCAACAGCAGCTTCTCTTCATCTATATCCAGCCTTTTTATATGTTTAGATTATTCTCACTGGGTCAGACACTGATCTTTCTGAAGTCACTTTGCTTTTTTTAATGAATCAGAGTTTGTTAACATTTGGTAACCAGCCATACACTTCTGGAGCTTGGTGTTTTAATAATCTTTTTGAAAAAAATGCATTCAGAAAGCTACACGATTGTAGGGTGATAATACACTCAGATAAATGTATAATGTCACTTCTTGGCTTTGACACTTGGAATTCTGAGTCCAAGCTATTGAACTAGGCTGAGATTTAGAGTCTTGTTACTGAAGCTTTCTCACATTCCCTGTTCCCACATGGTAGCTATCATCATCACAGACCATATTGCTTTCTTTGGTCATGTGTCTCATATTACAGCCTTTTGCATAGAGTAAATACTTACATAAAACCACACTGGATGCTATCCTGTTATGCAAGAACAGGGTACTCAAAGGCCCCATGTTTCAGTTCTTCTACAGCAGAGTTATGTTTAAAATTCAAAATCTTTGCATCTCAGTGCTTGTCTTATTTGAGTGTTTGCTGTGTATTATGAATGAATATTTTTAGTATTCCAGGGTTTTTAGATTATGTTTTAATTGTATTTATATTTGGGTTCTTGTGTTATACAGATTATGGCTTAAATTAACTTCATTTTCCTTGTTATCACTTCAAGATTGCTTTTGAGGTGGGAAGCAATCCATACATTGAGTGAATGAGTGAATAAATGATTGAATCTCTCCTTCTTGAGAGATACAGAAACACATAACAGAACTCTCAGATGACAGAAATCCAACAAATGTTTTTTCAGATGTAACACTGAGGAAGAACAAGAAGCACAGAGCATTTATACATCCTATTTCCAAAAGGCCTCCAAGAGCAATGCAAGAACATTTTCCCATCCATGTTACAGAAATTTAACATGATAATATTTCTCTCCAACTTAAAAATGTCAAAGGTGATCTGAAAGTACCTGATGATGAGTCTTGATCATTTAAAAGGGTTGGGGAAGGGCATGTTGTTTGTTTAATAGCTATTGGAAGGGAAAGTTTAACAGTTGAAATATTATTATACATTTCAGTCAGAGAGTGACTGTTGCCATTTCCTGAATCATAAGTTCATACAAAATTATAATTTCCATAATTGTCTTAATTTATGGCCTAAGCTTAACTAGCTATCTAAGCCAGTATGGTGTAGTGGCTAGAGTGTTGGACTGGAGTGTGGGAAATTTGGGTTCTAGTTCCCACTCAGCCATGAAGCTCACTGGGTAACTTTGGGTCAGTCACCAATTCTCAGCCAGATAGAGTTATTGTGAGGATAAAATGCAGAGGATGAGGATCATGTAAGCTGTCCTGGGTTCCTTGCAAGAGGAAACAAGGTGGGTTATAAGTGATGTAGTAATTAATAAATATATAAGCATTACTTTAAGAGCTGCCATTATTCAAAGAGGAACTACTGAATACCAAAGTCAGTGATTCTTTATAGGAGTAATATAACCAGTAGGATACAGAACAGAGAAGTCCACACTGTAACATTATCTGCTTCTCTTCTGTTTCATTTCCTGTTCCATACAGGAGAATGTCATTGTTCTTTTCCAAGACACTATTGACATATTTCAAGAGATGGCACAGCTTTTGGCAACTGCACCAGTAGGCATTTAAAAAGCTTTGAAGCACAGACCCATAGAATGCAAATCTGCACAGAATTTGCACATGCTTAATGATATTTATATATGCAAATTTAGAACCATTGCTAGGATGTATTTGAATTTTTCCAGATGGCTAAGCTAGCTAATCAGTTTTTCATCCAAATAACCTCAAATCAGGTTATTGTATTAATTTGCATCCTATCACAACACATATGAAATCAGTAGTTCCTCTTCAATTAAAATTAACTTGCAATGATGTGTGGAAAATGTAAAAATAAGAGTGGTTGGTTGGGTTTTTCACATGTTCCCCTCATGCCCCCATGCCTTAAGGTGGTACCTTTGAAACAAAGATGGTTTCAAAAATTTGCCAAGAGTACATAACCATAGTTGAGCTAAGAGAAAATCAGGGAATTACTCCCAATTAATTTCTCTATTCCTGCTTCAAAATTCAGTGACTTCCCTTCAGATAAAGAAGAAGAAAGATGAACTTGTGGCAGAGGCAGGCAGGGGACCCATGTTTCCCTGAAAAAAGAGACACTCTTTCCCAGAGCCCAGGCAACTGAAAAATCACACATTATGCACATTTTGACATACAACTCACTCTTCTGAAATTATAAACTGTAGCCGATTTCATCCTGATACATATACTGTTTCAGATTTTGCAAAATTAGGAGAAGTAGTAGATGTGAAAATTGCTCATGCGCCATCCATGTTACTAATAACAAAGCCTGACAAACAGAACCTCTGGTGGCCAAATCACTCTGTTCCAATAATTCATTCAGGGACACAGGTTTGAAGAAACTTCAACTCTAGTGGATAAAAGAGAGCTTACCATGGACCCCTGTAGCTTCTTGCTGAATTTATATGGCACATGATTAGTCAAAATTAACTAAACAACCTTTGGAGACAAATGTAACTGACACTTTCAGATCAATTCTTAAGATATTTTGTGTGATGGCTAACCATGTTGAGTGTTCCAAATGCTTCACATATACAGTAATTGCACACAGAATCATAGAATAGTAGAGTTGGAAGGGGCCATGAAGGCCATTGGGTCCAACCCCCTGCTGTTGCAGTACACCAAGTTACACCATCCAACTCAGATGGCTGTCCAGTTTCTTTTTGAATGTCGCCACCTCTCCAAGGCAGCTGTTTCCACTGTTGTATTGTTCTGACAGTGAGGAAGCTTTTCCTGATGTCCAGCCTGAATCTAGGTTCTCGCAACTTGAATTGATTATTCTGTGTCCTACAATCTGGAATCAGCAAGAAGAGATCTTGACTAGAGATCCCACTAGTTACCTCCATCCAATTTGATAAAGTGCCATTGATAAGCACTCTTTGTGTCCAATTTAGCAGCCAATTTTGGATCCACCTAAGAGTTTTTCCATCTAGTCCAGTTTTTGTTAATTTGCTTATCAGAATGTTGTATGGCACTATGACTCTACATATGGTAGAATCGGTTATTATCTTGCATTGCAGATAAGATGGGGAAAGGCTGAAAATAATAGGCTGTCTAAGGCTACTTACCATATCCTGTGCTAAGAGAAGATTTGAACTGGGGATTTCCATACTTCATATGCATTGCTGCTATGTTCTTCTTCCACTGAGCACTGTAAATCGCTTTATTTGAACATTTCAAAGGGGACGTTTATCATCATGTTGTGTTGACTGGAATTTCAAACATACAATAATATTATTATGTCATTCACTTAAGTAATGCTGTTGCCAACATAGATGTCATTGTGCCAAAGATGTATAAATGGATCCACCCATGTTCAACAGCAATCTGTGCTGGGAATTCCATCCTATAACATAAATACATGGGTGTGGCTTATTGGCTGTTGTGGGCAAAACCAGATATGTGGCACAGTCATACCTTCATCTGTCAACAAATCAAAACCATTCAGATCCTGTTGGGGCCAAGTTCTAGTGCTGAAATAGCTTTTACAGTTTGTATCTGGAATTTGGTCTGGAGTGGTCCAGAACAGTTTGGGCCTGTGAAATGTCAGAATCAATGTGAGCTTATCTGTCAGTGTTCTCAGGAAAGAGCAGGTAGTAACTTACTCCCATCAAGCTGCTAGTTTTGACCTTGCCTGGGAAGGAAGCTGGCAGCTTCTCTATGAGAACCTAAGAGAAGAGGAAGAGAAGAATTTTAGTTGTGCTAGATTGTGCTTGATTGTGAATCTTCATCAACCACAGCCCATGGCTAGCCTAATACTAACTCTTGGATTTTTCCATGCCTGGATCCATACTAAGGTAGAAGTCATAGTTTTCAAAGTCTCTGCATGTGTACATTACCTCTGGACTAACTCTTGAACCTGTTTTGACTCTTAGAGGTAATCACCTACCCCCATGTAACACAGAGGTGCCAGCAAGGATTTTGAGTTTAGTGCAAACCTTGATATGTTTAAGGCTGTTCTAGAATCCTTGATTTGATTGTCCGGGAAGGTTGACCTTAGGAATCATTCAGCTCCTTGTTCTGTATTCTGGGCCACAGAAATTACTGCAGGGAAACCAACTGTCTGGTTGTATTTATTAGTTTTGAGTTGTTGTGGAATTTCTTACAGAGCCTTTAGCTAGTGGTCACCAGCTATATGATTTCTGAATACTATAAGCATTAAGGTTTTACCTTAAGATTTGTAAAAGTAAAAGAGTCTTATTGATTTGGTGTCCTGTGTCAAAATGCCAGCATGTATGTTTGAAGGACCAGGCCCATGACATATATATGATGTGGTAATTGCACACTGCAGTAGGGAAGAGGATGCAGCTGCTTTAAAAAAATCACAACCTTCCCCCAACTTTCCTTGCATTTAAAATACTCCAAAGTAAAAAGCAGTGTTTGAGGTTGCACCAAAATGGCCTTAAATATCTAATTAGACTTAGCCTGAATGGAGAGCAGATCTGGGTCAGCTTTGCTATCTGCAGCATTTGTCACTCAAACCGTTCACTGTAATGCTTCAGCTAGTCCTGAAAAGGCTGAAGAAAATGTGGAGGAGCTAAGCTGAATTGCCAAGGGTCAAGGGCATTTTAGTGACTCACATTGGCTCAGGCTTGCTTGATTATGGCTAATGTCGGCATGCTTAGTATCTACTGAAAATGCCCTTTAAATTTCCCTTCTTCAAGTACTTTTTCCTAGAAACTGTTCTTTGCTTTTCAAACAAGGACTGTTGAGAATGAACTGTGATATCAAACTTCTTTGTAAGATGCAGGTATTTAAAACTTGCTTCCACATTTAAATCTAAATTGCAGCACTGACATGGAGTCTGAATATGTGCAGCTTCACTCG